CTGTATGGTTCCAAGACTTCTTCCCTTCGCAGGGCTACTAGATTTCGGCTCATTCCGGTTTTTGCAATCAGCCCCGGTGTTCACGGTGCTGAGTGCTGGGCGAGTGCTTATTTGCGAAACCGGGCGGAGCTGGGACTAGAGGCATCTGAGAGTGAACCGCTCATGAGGTGCCCGTGCGCGGATGGGAACTTTACAGATCGCAAGTTGCGTTCCTCCGATGCCTCTGTCTGGATGAGGGAACTCTTGGGAAACGATTGTACTGAGGAGGAGTTGGCCAACCTTGCCACCCACAGTTGCAAGGCCACATGCTTGGCTTGGCTGACCAAGACGGCCGCCTCTAACAACATGTGCCGCCGTGCCGGGTACCATGTGGGTCAGGAGGGGCGCTCCGAGCTCGAGTATGCCCATGACGCTGCAGCACCCCTGGTACGCAGGTTGGCGGATACCCTTGATCTGATTCGTGAGGGGATTTTCTGCCCTGACGAGTCGCGGCTCCAGAGGTGGCACGGGACTTCGGACTTTGAATCGGCTGTTCTTTTGCTACGGCGCGGCGAGGAGGCGAAGCGCCCTCGCAAGAATGTTCCTGCCCAGGTTAGCCGTTTGCTGGAGGGGTCATCTACCGATTCGGAATCAAGTGAGGACTTGGATGAGGATTCTGATAGTGCTGGATCTGAAACTGATGGCCACTTAGCAGACATGCATGCCCTGGGCGAGACGATTGCATCTAATGCAAGTGATGGTTTTGTATACTATCAACATGGCTCGAGGCAAACCGTGCATCGAGCCCAGAGGCCNNCATGACGATGATGCGACTGTTTTCGTGTGCGGTCGCTTAGCCACGGCAGCGCATGTGGAGCTCGGTGCGCGGCCCAACGTGATTTTGAATCCTTGCCTTTCATGTTTCCGGTGACGAGAGCTTTGCCGTGGTGTAGAAGAGGTGTTTTCTTGGTAGTCATACTGAGGGAAGCCTTTCGAACCGCTGATTTTGGGCCAATTTTAGACTTGGGCCTTGGATATACCGTCCTGGTGTGCCTTCACAAGTGGTGGTGCATGCACACCAAACCACCATACCGGTGTGCCTCTGGTTTTGATAATGAAAGGTGCGGACGCAACGGATCAAAGACACCCCTGCATGCTGCATGCTTGCGAGTTTTCCGCTAGCTCCAACCATGTCCCGCTCTCGAGTTTTGAACGGCTCCAGGTCCTTCCTAGTGGTAGCCTGTCATGTCTTATGTCGATTCAAAAGCGATCTTTCGGCAAAGCTGCCTGGCTGTTGGACTGCCTACTGAGGTCGTTGATCGACTCGACTTGCGTGGCTGGAGCACATTTGCTAACTTTGCTCATGCTCCTACTGCCACCCCGGGAACTGCAGGAGCGGAAGCCGCCGTCAAGATTGTCCTTGATGCCATCCTAGGCGATTCCTTTGCTGCTCATGAGGCAGCACTTCGCCGATTGCACTGGGAAGCCTGGACACTTACCGCTGCAGACCTTAAGCGGAAAGTGGACGGGACTGACGAAGCGGGGCCGAGGAAACTTCCTGTCGCCGAGATTGGTGCACGCCTGCAAGTCCTTGCTCCGAAAATTTCTCCCCTCAAGCTTCAGGGAATCTTGGAGCCCAGTCATGCCAGCATTAACTTGTTTGCAGCCATGCTTGATGAGGGACGTCTTCGCTACGTGGAGTGGGCCAGGCTCACCACCAGAGACCAAGAGGTGCTGGGTGCCACTGAAGATCAGCTTCTAAAAGCTTGGAGACCGGACAAGGCAGGCATTGTCCGAGAGCACAAGGATACACCACGTCTTGAGGCGAATGTTGCTACGGACCTGTTGGTGCATCATGCTTTGCGGCGGAGGGGCTTGTGCTTCTCTGTGGCCGAACTGATGAGCTTCGAGGTACATGAGTCTCTCATTCAGTTCTTGTTCGATGCATATTACAAGGAGCCCACCGAAGGCTATCAAAGGGTCACTCTCGCGCAGCTTGCGCTCTGTGACCGGGAGGTGCATCTCCGCCTGAGTGATCAGTGTCGTTCCGGGTTCACGCTGGGTTCCGATGGGAGTTTGCCATTGGATAGACATTTGCCGATCGTTCTGCAAATGCGATGCGTTGAACAGTTGCTCCTGCCTCGAGCCCGAGGCGCTGCCAGCACTACTTCCCGGGACGCCCCTAAGCCTAAGTCGAACCCTAAGAAACGTAAGACCCCTACGGACTCCTCCGTACCCCCACCCCCGAAGCCTGTCGCTGCCAGGACCGATGTGCGGCCGAAAAAGCGAACACCTTACATGCCTGCCGCATTGAAGGGTGGGGTTCCGGTCGATGCCGAAGGGGCCGCATTGTGCTGGAACTACAATCTTGGCAAGTGCCCCCATGGCGATGCTGCCTCGTGCCCTCGGGGCAAGCACCTGTGCTGCAAACCCAACTGCTTCCAGAAGTATCCCTTCATTCGCCACGCCTGACTAGGTCCCGTAGGTGAGGCTCCGAGTGTGGCCGGCTTTGGTGTCGATGCTGCCTTCGAGGCCTCTGGGCGAGCCGTCTGTGTGACTTCGACAGGAGATGAACCGTTTTCCGTACGTTTAAACCTTGATTTTCCAGGGGTCACTCTGTGTGATCACCCTGC